TGCCACCTCAGCATGGTAAGGCGGCGACAACTCAGCATAACTCATCATTACATTTATCCAAGTGGCAAGCTATCAAGAGAAGCAACTAAGGACCACCTTTGACCTTTCAAATTGTAATGATTATTGTGCAGATAAATATTGTACGTAAATATAAAAGGAAAAGGGAGAATTCCCCAGGAACAACGGACAAGAATAATACCTTACAGAAAAATTACATTTCCAGTTATAATATACAAGCTTTTATCGTTGAACACTTAGCTTTACTGCAAATACACTCCAATTTGGTTGTTGTTAATTTCCATTTGACAACAGTTTGGCGCTAGAGGAAGGGCCACTTCGCCCTGTGTTGTATTTAATTGTCACTTTTAAAGCCATTTTCACGCTCAGAATCATTATGTCACAATCTGGTCGAGACCATGCTACTCACCCTGGCCAGAGCCAGTCAACTAATCATTCCCCGCGGCGTACAACACCACCACCTCCGGCCGCGAATATTACGAACTTCCTTCAAAATCCGGAGTTCATACAAGGTTTGTCTTCATTAATAGCTCGAGCCATGCCTAGACACTCGAGCACGATGCCGTTAACTACTAACCCAACAGAGCATCCCACTCATATTCATCATGATCACGAGACACATGTTGCGACGTCACATGCCACGTCGCAACCCCATCACACTTCTCCACGACAAGAAGAACGGGCTCATGTAATCGCTGATCCCGTAACGAACAATCAAGCCCAAGATCAACCCCCTATGCAGGAGATGACTGCTGAAAGTCATTCTGCTCATCGCCAGAGAGTTTCCCCACGTCCTAGACACATCTCATCAGCACCTCACGCTCGCGAAGATTTACGACGCCAAATTGAACGCAATCGTCTTTCAAGACATAGTGCGGAGGAAATTTAAACCCTCCGTAAACGTTTGGCCGAACTTGAAATGCGACAGAAGTCACAAGAGGATTCACCCCGACATGTCGCGACGTCGGGAAATGTTGTTGTTGAGGCAGATTCTCCTTTAGCCCCCGAACTTACTGCGGAGCCACTCCCTGTCAAAGTAAAAATTCCGCAAATCGGCATGTATGATGGGACGTCGGATCCAGACGCTCATTTAGGTCATTACACATCTTGGATGGATTTACATGGAGCTTCAGATGCTCTGAGGTGTCGGATGTTCTCACTTACACTGGGGCCACGAGCCCAGAAATGGTATTACACTCTCCCACCTCATTCAATTTGGAAATGGCAGCAACTACGTGCGGCTTTCCGGTCACACTTTATCGGTGCTCAAATTTGTCTCATTCCGAAAGAATCGATTACTAACATCGTGCAAAAAGACGATGAGACTGTTAAAGATTATGTGGCCCGATTTAACGACCGGATTCAGAATATGGAACCATGTCATCCTGAAACTTTGTTAGTAACTGCTATTGCTGGATTGAGGCCCAATTCGATGTTTCGTTGGACCTTATGTCAAAATAAGCCTGCAACATTTCAAGAGTTTCTTGTACGAGCTCAACAATTCATCATTGCCGAAGAATCCATGTCGGTCCCCAGTTTCGACTTCTCGGTAAAAGAAAGTAAGGTTGAACCGGATACTAAAAAGAAAAACAAGAAGAACTTTGGGAAATCCCAATTTCGGAACTCCTCTAAAGGGTATGAAAATACTCTAGAGTCCCGGGCTGCTCGTGATCAATATTCGGACAACGTCAGGACAGGTTACCACGCTGTTTATTCTGCTGGAGCGGCCACCATATATGAAGAGCTGAAAGGAAAGGGGATCATTCCAGACCCGAGGCCTGTGAGAACTCCTGAAGATAAGTTGGACAAAACTCGCTATTGTGCGTACCACAAATCTCCAGGGCACAATACCGACGAGTGTCTCGGTCTTTTATCGGCACTCTTACGTTTAATCGGGCAACCCCAACTTCAAAAGTTTCGAAATTTTGATAATCGCCGGAAAGAAAGACCTTTGGATCTTTCAGACGATGAAGATGAAGATAACCGACCTGCTAACCAGAAGAGAGCTCGTGTAAATGATAAGGAAGTTTTTACGTTTTCTACTCATATCGGAACTTCGACCGACAACCACAGGAAACTTAAGACACATGATTCTGCAGATTTTTCTCGTTGTATACCTCGGGTCAACTCCAATAACAAACAGTCAGATATGTCTCGACGGAAAGTTAAAGCTTATGCTCGGGAGGCTCAGAATGCCGAGAACCGAGTCATGAATGTCGATCTTCGAGATACCATCAATAAACGGAATTGCCCCATTACATTCAGTATTGAAGACGCTAACTTGTTCGCTCATCCTCATTCTGATGCTCTCATTATAACTGCCCCAATTGGGGGAATTCCTGTTCATCGAATCCTGGTCGATATAGGAGCGTATTCAAGTATCTTAATGCTCCGTACTTTCAAAAAATTGGGTTTGGACCCAGCAGACATTAGGCCTTGTAACGATCAGATTCAAGGTTTCAATGGAAGCATTTCTTGCCTTGTTGGCGAAATATTGCTCCCTATTCGATTTGGAGGCTTTGGACCGAAGTCCAAGATTATTATGGAAACCTTCAAAGTTTTGGATGTCCAAAATGAATATAATGCTGTAATTGGGCGAACCGCACTTTATAAACTCCGTGCTGCTGTCTCGATTTTTCATTATGCTTTAAAGTTTCCCACCGTTGAAGGAGAAGGCACTCATTACGGAGATCAACGAGAAGCCCGAAGTCTGATGCTGCTTTCAACCTCGCCTAACTTTCATATGATTGAAGGACGAGATATTAATAGCTTTGTTGAGCCAAGTGATCCAATTCCTCGTACTGAACAAGTTGATCAGTTCACCTCGGATACCGACATGCCTCAAGTAGAGATCAACTTGCCGCCTGCCAGTACCGACATCCCCATGACGTTGGTCTTGTCTGAAATATCAACAGAAATCCTTAGCCAAGAACAATCTTCCCATGAAACAGACATAGAAATACATGAGGATATAGACCCAAGGATGCAGTTCAAAGATGGAAGTCATCATATCCGAGCGGAACCTGTTGAAGATATTGAGATCATTTACGTGGACGGGTTAGAACAACAGAAGTCGTTGCGTATTGGGGCCAACCTGCAGGAACCCCTTCGGTCAAATTTGATTCAATTCCTCCAGTCAAACACTGATGTATTCGCATGGAAGCATGAAGACATGAAAGGGATCGACCCACAGAAGGCATGCCACCATCTCAATTTGGACAAGACTGTCAAACCGGTTATTCAAAAACGTCGGAAATTTGGTCCAGATCGCCAGAAGGCTCTTGAAGAGGAAGTAAATAAGCTCATCGATAATAAATTTGTTAAAGAAGCCAAGTACCCGACGTGGATATCGAACCCTGTTCTAGTTAAGAAAGCAACCGGCCTTTGGCGTCTTTGTATAGATTTCTCTGACTTGAATCAAGCGTGCCCGAAAGATAGCTATCCCATTCCACACATCGATTATATGGTAGACGCTACGTCGGGACACCAACTTATGAGTTTTTTGGATGCCTATTCAGGCTACAATCAGATTCCCATGCACCCTGATGATGCTGAACATACCTCGTTCTATTCAGCTCGAGGCCTTTATTGCTACGTTATGATGACTTTTGGATTGAAGAATGCAGGGGCCACGTATCAGAGATTGGTCAATAAGATGTTTGCTCGTTTAATTGGCCATACAATGGAAGTTTATGTAGACGACATGTTGGTGAAGTCGGAACAGGCCCCCGACCATATTGCTCATCTCTCCGAAGTCTTCGATATACTCCGAGAATATTCCATGGTACTTAACCCCAAAAAATGTACTTTCGGAGTTGAGTCAGGGAAGTTTCTAGGATACATGGTGAGCCAAAGAGGGATCGAAGCCAATCCCGCCAAGATTCAAGCCATACTTGACCTAGCTCCCCCGACATCTCTCAAAGGCGTCCAAGCCTTAACTGGTCGACTGGCAGCTCTTAATCGGTTCATTTCGAAATCTACAGATCATTGTAAACCATTCTTTGACGCTATCAAAAAGAAAAAGCCGTTTGAATGGACCGTGGAATGCCAGAATGCTTTTGACAACATTAAACAAGTTCTCTTGCAGTTACCAACGTTGCAAAAGCCACTTCCCGATGAGCCTCTCTATTTGTATCTTGGTGTAAGTAGCGTTGCTGTTAGTGCTGTCGTTATACGTCAAGACGGACTTCAGCAGTTTCCAGTGTATTATATTAGCAAGGCCTTGCATGACGCTGAGTTGCGATATCCGCATATGGAGAAGCTGGCCTATGCTCTGATCATTGCTGCACGGAAGTTTCGCCCATATTTTTTGGAGCACTCAATTGTTGTGTTCACGACATATCCTCTCCGACAAGTCCTTCACCGACCTGACATGTCGGGAAGAATGATTAAGTGGGCAATTGAGTTGGGACAGTTTGATATACAGTACCGACCGCGAACCGCTATCAAGGCCCAAGTACTGTCCGATTTCATTGCTGAATTTACTCCCACTGTCGATTCATCCATTGAAGATCCGACGTGGACTCTCTACATTGACGGATCGTCCACCGCTATGCGAGCTAGGGGGGGAATTGTCTTGGTTAGTCCCGATCAGCAAGTGTTTTGTTACTCTATGGCATTTACTTTCCTGGCCACCAATAACGAGGCCGAGTACGAGGCCCTCTTATCAGGATTACACTTTGCTGAATCCATGAATGTTTCCTCTCTTCGGATATTTTCCGACTCCCAGTTGCTAGTCAGTCATATCAACGGCACTTACGAAGTCAAGGAACCACGGCTGTTGCCCTATTTTGATCTTGTTAAAAAGAAGCTGGCGCGATTTAAAATGACGCTGGAGCATATACCTCGGTCATCCAACGTCCAGGCAGATGCTCTTTCGCGACTGGCCTCATCAACCGACTTGGATAATGTTGAATTTGTGCAAATTACCCAACAGGTGACCTCATCCACAGTCTCTACCGACGTCGTTATGGTTGCTGCCGCCTCAGTAACCCCAAGTTCTACATGGATGGACCCGATCATCGACTATCTTCAAACCGGGGCCTTACCTGAAGACTTGAAAGAAGCTCGTGCTCTCCGTGTTCGTGCTGCTCATTACACCATCGATGAAGGGACATTATATAAACGTGGGTATTCTACCCCATTGCTCAAATGTTTGTCGGAGAAAGATGCTCAACGAATTTTGCAAGAAGTACATGAAGGAGTCTGCGACACCCACCAAGGAGCTCAAACTTTGTCTCATAAAATTCTCCGGCAAGGCTACTACTGGCCTACTCTTTGGAAAGATGCTGCGGATTGGGTGCGGCGGTGCCACAAATGCCAGATATTTGCTCCCAACGTTAACCAACATCCTGAACTCCTCAAATCAATATATAGTCCATGGCCGTTCGCAAAATGGGGAATTGACTTGGTCGGCCCGCTTCCGACAGCAAAAGGAGGAGTTCGGTTTGCTATATTAGCTGCAGCTTACTTTACCAAGTGGGTTGAAGCTGAGCCCCTTGTCACCATTACCGAGAAAAAAATGGTGGATTTTGTTTGGAAATCAATCGTTTGTCGGTTTGGGGTCCCCAACTCCATTATAACCGACAACGGTCGTCAGTTTGAAGGCAAACGATTTGAAAGTTTTTGTGAAGATTACGGCATTAAGCATTTCTTCTCGTCACCTTATCACCCACAAGCTAATGGACAGATAGAGGTCGTAAACAAGATTATCAAAGATGGCCTGAAAACTCGACTTGAAGCTGCAAAAGGATCATGGCCCGATGAATTGCCTTATGTCCTCTGGTCTTATCGAACGACGACAAGAAATTCAACTGGAGAAACTCCGTTCTCGTTAGCTTATGGAACTGAAGCTGTGATACCGGTTGAACTTGCCTCTCCGACATATCGGGTCACTCACTTCTCCGAAGAAACCAACCCAGCAAACTTGAAGACCAGTCTCGATCTGCTCGATGAATTACGTGCTGACGCCGAAGTTCGCAATGCTGCTTATAAGCGACGTAGCGAAAAATATATAAACTCGAGACTCAAGCCACGCTCGTTTGTCAAAGGAGACCTCGTCCTGAAAAGAGTCACTGGTGCTCATGTCGGCCCGTTACAACCAAAGTGGGAAGGACCCTTTAAAGTAAATCGCCTAATCTCTAATGGTACTTACCGACTTGAAACGTTAGACGGTGTTCCCCTTCAATATCCCTGGCACACGACATATCTGAAGAAATACTACCAGTAAATTTGATGCCAAATGTCCTGTCCCCGATATGTAAAAAAAAAAAAAAAAAAAAAAAGGTTTTTGTCCTACTGCTGTACAAGAATCATGTTTTGCTATCAATAAAATTTGTGTGACGAACCCCAATAATTTGTTCGATCACTCGGACCACAATAAATCGGTCCTCGTTGCTAAGGCTAAACGTGTTTCATACCCTGAAGATGGTATGACCTAGCCGAACGCAGCAAGCTGGATACTTCCAAGCCCTGAAGATGGTTTGGGGAGGCTTATGCTCTACGATACCGAATCCCAACGATGATTTGGTGAGCTTACAATAAATATTTCCAGTAAATAGCAAATCTTTTATGATTTGTTCGATTAAGGAGCTCGCAGATGTCGGATAAGCTATAAATTGTTTCTGATAATGGCAAGTTTGATGTCGGAAGTGCTGTAAGACTACGCCGACGTCAGTAATTCGTATAAATTATTACGCTAATATTATGTCGGAAATTTTAAACTTGATAAATATTTACCCATCTTTTCCGACATGATAAATCATTAAAACATGCGTAAAACAAATATCCCATTCATCAAACATTCATATTCCATTTCAAAACCAAATGGCAGTACATTCTCAAAAGAAAAAATAAACAACAAGACAATGTAAACACATCAATTTTCTTTAGTCCCCGACGACGACGCTTTTCCTGCATCAGAGAGTTGAGGATTCTCCATCCCAGCCTTGTCCTTCTCAACGCCATCCAGGTGCTCAATCAACCTTGACTCAGGCGTTGAACGACATCCTCTTCTTTCTCTTCCAGTGCTCGGACGATGTCGCTCTCTTTGATTATGACGACGTCGCCATCTTCATGCAAGACACGATCATCGTCAGAAGGGACTGGGTCGATCACCCATCCCTTAGCCTTGGCATCATCCTCTGCCACCTTGCGCGCAGCATAACCAACAATCGCGCTTAAAAGCTCCTCCTCTGATAGGCCCTCAAATGTTTCAGTGACAAAAGCCTCAGCAATCGTCTCCACGCATATGTTGGCCATTTCAGGCTTCTTGGCCTTCTCCACTTCAAGGACCATGTCAACAAATGATCGCCTGATTTTCGCCTTCCGCTCTTCCGACAAGGGCACCATGTCCAGCTCCAACATCCGACTTTCCTTCTGCTTTAGAAGTCGGTCAGCAAAGTCTCTCTCGTCCTGGTCGGCCGGGATATGGGCATTCTTCATCTCGGGATTGAAGCCATACTTCTCCATCTTGTGAAGCAGATAAATGCGCAGTTCATCCATGGTATATACGCCGCTATCAACCCTATCTATTACCCACCGTAAAGCCAAGGCGGCGTTTAACTCCATCTCCCATTCTGTTGTCGCACCGGCGTCAGCTGCGTCGTCGGGCTCGGCTACCGATTTCTTGCCGACTTCGATACCCTCTTGGAATTTGAGCTCGGCGGCGGCAGTGATTTCTTGACGAAGTTTGTTCATCGCCATTTCGTGAGCTTCACGGCTTCGGATCAGCTCAGCATCCTTATCGGATCGATCCTTGCGGACGGCCTGAAGCTCAGCCTTTAACCTTGTAAGCTGCTCGTCCTTTTCTTTGGCCACCTCCGCAACTTTGGCCAACTCAACCGACGTGAGATCATGGGCTAGCAGTAAGTTTTCTTTCTCGATTTTGAGAGTGTTCACTTCGGTCAATGTCGCCTGCAGTTCAGCATCCTTCCTTGACAAGGCTGCCTCATAGCGAGACTTCTCATCCTCCAAAGAAGCTATGGCGCCTTCTTTCAGACTCAGCTCATGTTGTTTTTCATCGAGTTCATGAGCTCTGTTTCGGTAACTGTCTTCGGCCGCTATAAAACTGACAAGAGCCCGGCCCAAACAACCCCGGGCGTAACTGAACTTCTGGTCATCTGGCAGGGATGCGATCCCCGCATGAGTCTTTGGGTCCCACGACATCAGTGGAACCCTTGCCGCTTTAACTGCTTCATCGGGGAACCGCTGGTTGTTCGTGATTTTTGGCTCAACAACCGTTTGGAACATCGGAAACCATGGGTCAAGCACGCCTTCTGGCAGCGTCAACTCCGCCGCCTTCTTCTCATTTATCTTAAGGAAGGAGTCCCTCAAAACGATTTCGGGTTCTTCTTCCTTGTCCTTGCCAGCACCAGTGTCTTGTCTCTTCTTCATCCTCTCCGCCACATGAGATACACTGGATCTTTTGCGACGATGAACTACTGGCTCGTCGGGCACCTCCTGTGCTTCTTGAGAGATCTCCGCCTCAACCATGGACTCACCGACTTGCGTCATTATTTGCCGCAGTGGTTCCACTTCCAGTGGCGGGACGTCGGCAACTGTTGGCTCGTTCACGATCGCCGGCGTCGGTTCTACTCTAGTTGATGACGGTTCACCAACACTAATTTGAGATCGGTTAGGATTTTTCTTCCATGCTTTGAGAAGATTCATGCGTCCGGCCATCTCGGTTGATCGGAGATTCTTGTTTTTTCCGACTTTGTTTTTTAAATCCCAGTTCGGATTGCGTCTCCGATGCTCCTCAGCTTCTGTAGGATCTCCTAAACCGAAGTATCCCAGCAACGGGTAATAGACTGTTACAGTAAGTTTAAAGTTAGGACGATGTCGTTAACACGAGTAATGATATGAGATAAACGAAGTAAGTGGAGAAGATTACCTGGTAAAAATGAAGAATTAAGTACTCCAGGAGACAATCCAGCCAACTCTAAGCGAGAATCTTTCATGAGTCGTTGATATCGACGTTTGTTGGCGGACACTTCAAACAATTTGTCTACTCGATCGTACAGTAGACCTTCAAACTTCAGCTCTTTCTTCCCGGTTGGTTTTGCTACAAGGTCACAAAAGTCCACCTGTTAGCGACAACAAAAAACAACATATTAATAACCGAAGTGAAGAAAATGGAAACGACTTACAATAACCAGATTTAGTGGCCATTGGGATGCTTATCCCGTCGGCAAGAAGATCATTAGCGAAGTCGGGGCACTGCCAATCTCCCCCGACCCACAACCACTCCTCTTGGAACCCATGTAGAGTATCAGGGACCTCCATTATTAGCTCACCGACTTTAACCCTCGGCTGCGGTTTACCAACAATGGAAAAGGTAAGAAGTGGGTCCGACACTTGTCTGTCTGGGCTCTTCCGGAACGTGAACATGCTTCTCATGTCCTTTGCCGACGGCAGATCCCATTTTTTCTCGGCAAAAAGCACTAGCAGCCCAAT